ATGTGCAATGAGCAGGAGTGATGCGCAATGAGCAGGAGTGATTAGCAATGAGCAGGAGTGATTAGCAATGAGCAGGAGTGATTAGCAATGAGCAGGAGTGATTAGCAATGAGCAGGAGTGATTAGCAATGAGCAGGAGTGATTAGCAATGAGCAGGGGTGATGCGCAATGAGCAGGAGTGATGCGCAATGAGCAGGGGTGATGTGCAATGAGCAGGGGTGATGTGCAATGAGCAGGGGTGATGTGCAATGAGCAGGGGTGATGTGCAATGAGCAGGGGTGATGTGCAATGAGCAGGGGTGATGCGCAATGAGCAGGAGTGATGCGCAATGAGCAGGGGTGATGCGCAATGAGCAGGAGTGATGCGCAATGAGCGGGGGTGATGTGCAATGAGCAGGAGTGATGTGCAATGAGCAGGGGTGATGTGCAATGAGCAGGAGTGATGCGCAATGAGCAGGGGTGATGTGCAATGAGCAGGGGTGATGCGCAATGAGCAGGGGTGATGTGCAATGAGCAGGAGTGATGCGCAATGAGCAGGGGTGATGTGCAATGAGCAGGGGTGATGTGCAATGAGCAGGGGTGATGTGTAATGAGCAGGAGTGATGCGCAATGAGCAGGGGTGATGTGCAATGAGTAGGTGTGATGAGCGGTGGAGGTGTTCCGTGAGATTGCGACAAATTTCCATTTGCTTGTGTGATTGTTGGCAGCAAGTGACAGGGATCACCCGGGCAGTCAGAATCTCTTGATCTGACCAATTATTTTAATGTCTTGATTTGCTTGGCAGGCTTATCTGTCTGATGCGGACTTTCTCCAAGTGTTCGGATGTGATAAGGAGGCGTTCTACAAGCAGCCCAAGTGGAAGCAGGATACCAAGAAACGTTCGCTCCACCTTTTCTAAGCAGTTTTTTTCAAAATGGAAACGGTATTGACTCTGGCTTTCTAGTGTGTAGTGCTGTTGCTAGGACAGATTGGAGACCTGTAGTTCCCTTCTCCATTCTCCAGTAGCTTGTTACCCACACAAAAGTGTAGGGTACGTTCATATGTATGTTACTGAGATGTGTTTTCTGTTGTGGCTATGGGAGACAGGAAGGAGGGCATGGATATTGTATTTTAGACCATCCTACAAATGATGGAAGTGTCAGACTGTTACCACGCGAAGCGATCAACAATCCTGTCCAATTTGTTATTGTTACGCATGAACAAACTGGTGATTGCAGTTCTGTCATAAGACTCCCTGCCATGTAACTTCCTCCAATATTCAGGCAAATACAGTAGGAAACATAATCATACTGATCTAACATAACATATCTAAAAAAATACTAGTACCGTAGCTCAATAAAACGAAATCACACAATTTTAAGAAAGTGTAGCAGCAAGAGGAAAATCAGCACTACCAATGAACAATGAGTTTTATTTGTCCAATGACCTGTAGTAATAATCATCTCCGATAACTGTCTCTACTAGCACCAGGCCTCGTGAGTAGTACCCGAGTTGCCCCTCTAGAACTGCTGCTACCGGTACCTTGCCCAGATGTGCCAGCGCTTCCATTAGACTGTTCCGGTTCCGGGTGCACTCTTGCAGCATTTGATCTGCCAAAAAGACGACTCGCCTCGACTCGACGTGCTGAAACTTGCAACCGGTTGGTGGCATTGACCGAGTTCGTTGTGGCTGGAACAGAGGTTACCGGAGGTACTGCTGTCCTTGTTCCTGCAGGAGCCGTTATGCGCATCTCTTGTGTGCCACCGGTAGATTGCGTGGACCTTGTCGTTCTACTCAGGTGGTTCAATGCGGCTCTGGCAGACTCTGCTGCCCTAGCTGTTCCCGACTCTGTCACTCGGGTCAAAACATCAATCGCTCCAGCTGTAAGCAATGGTTCTCGCAGGTTCTCAAAGAATGATAAGTTACGAAGTGTCCGTGCAGCTGCTTCTTTGCTCCAAGGAGACCCATTCTGAAGTGCTGCAAGCAGCACTGGCACAGCTCCGGCCTGTGCCACAAAAGTTCAGCGTTAGCCAATCATATGGAAGGTCAAAGCTCTAGTGGAAACTATCAGATTACCTGAACAATCTTCTCCCCATTTTCATTGATTTCACAGGCCAAGCTTCCAAGGGCGTGAGTGGCATATTCTCCGGCTTCTGGGGTCGGGGATCTTGCAGCAACCTGCGACAACAGAGCTTCAGTGAAATCTGTACAGAAATAACGACATCAACTTCGAATCATACCTGGACAAGCAAAGGGATGGCACCGGCTGCAGCAATCTTCAGCCTGTTCTCATTGTCAAAAGCAAGATTGCACAGTGCTGCTGATGCGCACTCATACGAGGTCCTTGAGGCATTTGGCTGGTTGAAGTCAAGAAGAGAAACTAGTGGAAGTATGCCTCCAGCAACTGCAATCTGGAACTTGTTGACATCCGTCTTGGCTGAGAGGTTGACAAGTGCGCCACAAGCGGCCTCCTTTGCAGCTTGAGACCCCTGCAGAGAAAGGAGGTTGTTAAGTGCCACGAACTAGTGGCCATGAGTGCAAAACAGGCCCACACTTACCACAGAGAGTAGTCGGACCAAAGCTGGGATAGCTGCTGCGGAACCTTGTGTAATGATCGGGTTGTTGCTCCTGGAAAGGAAGCGGATGCATCTTGCTGCCGTTTCCTTCGCAAAATCAGAGCCTTCAAGCAGAACCATGATGAGGGGTGGGATTGCACCAGCCTGTACAACCGAAACCCTCCCATTTTCCCCATCTTCACTTGCAGTTGTTGCAAGCTGAGCCACAGCTGCGTCCTGTAAAATCAACGTGGCAAGAATGAGCTACGGAACTTACTACCAGGCTCGTTTCAGCACAACATTATTGACCTTGTCAGCAGATGAACCAACGAACAGCTGCATAACAGCCAGCATGGGAGGGCTCCTCCTGTCTGGCAGAGCATTGTCCCAGGTAGGGATCTGTGATGGTGCCGAGGCATTATTAGCTGTCTTATATTGAGCTCCGCTTATACGAGGTGGCGGAAAGAACTCAGGCTCCTTTAACTCAATGCCCCGCTTTTGTGCCCAAGCTCGAATGGCGTTTCGCAGTGCATAGTTAGGCACCAGCTCAATGTTCCCAAGAGGCATCCCTGGCATCATAATAAGAACGACAGCATAATCAGATCACAGTCCTTCCATTGGTAGAATTTCGGGAACTAATTGATGTGTTTGATACTTACTCGTGATCGGACATGTACGATGGCCCTCACTTATCCACTGTCTGATGGAGCTCCTCTCATAAGTTTGTCCCGTGACAACCATGACTGGATCAGCCATCAGCTCGCATGTGATAGGACATAGAAACTCAGGAGGTGGCTCATCGTTCATGCTTGACCGTCTCCTGTAGGAACATTGTGATCAGGTTTGTTAGCATGAATCAAGTGGAACAGCATAAAAGAGGTCTTACCTTCTTGTGCCAAAAGGTCGATCTGGTGTGCCATAACTAACGGTGCCTTTCCTGGGCTTTTCAGCAGAAGCATCATCCAGGGCCTTAGAAGTATTGTTGCCGGAGTCTGAGCAAAACAGCTTGTTAGTGTTTACCCTTCTTTCCCTTTTAAGATCTAACGGGATCCAAAACTTACCAGACGTCTCTGGCAATGAGGTGGGTTCCGCAGTTCCAGTAGGCGATGCTACTTCTGCAAATGAGCGAGGACTGAGAACGGATGGAGCGAAGCTGTTACCGTTGTCTTGCGTTGTCCGTATGGATTCAAGCATTGTTCTTGTTGCCTCCAGGCGCATCTCTCCGTCGTTTGCCGATCTGCGTTCATGTAATGATTAGCTCAAGCGAGATGGGGAGTGTGTGTCAAAGACAACCTTTCTCACCTGCCAGACGACGTTCCTTCACGACCACGAGATGTTTGCTGACCATTACTTGAATCATTAAGCGAGAGCTGGCTCATGCTTTGCACACTCCGCCAATAACCATGCCTTCCTTGAAGTATTATGTCCAAGGCGTGATCGGATGCACCACTCACGACTTCGTCACAACCAGTATTGACCATTTCTTTCAGACGAGCATCATTCGGATCAAGGTTCACGTCGACGTTCTTGAGCTTCATAGCTGCTTTAGACGCTGCTGTGAGAACGTCCGAAAATAAGTGCACCGGAAACCCCGGTTCCATCTGTGTATTACATGAAGCAAGTTAGTGTCGCGCTTTGAACATGCCTCCGCGGCTGCATGCTAGACTTTCAGGTCACCTTGATCCTTGTGCTGGCAAACTCATATAATGCATCCCCCGTTTTCTTCGTTGCGTCTTGAAGACGTGACGTGAAGGAATCCGAGTGCTGAAGCAAGTGAAACTTCCATAGCCTATCGCGGCACAAATCCACGCAGACAGTCACATCCGCCAGTGAGCTAGCCATCTCAGAAAGAGATTCCGCCAAGCTGTTACCCTGTGCTACTGTGAGGTTAGTGTGCTTGAGAACCAAGAAAAGTGGTTGGACTTCTTTCAGTGCATCACAAATCTCCCGGCAAGCACGCGAGCACAATACAGCGTCAGCCGAGCACTCCGTCGAGTAGCAGATCATCTGTTCGATGACCTTGAGCATTTCCGTTCGGTCAATGTGAAGTGCTTGGCCGGCTGCGTTATCGTCTCTGTCCGCCATGTTTGGGGTTGCGATCTGCAATTGCAAAGAAGTAGCCCCCTCGATCAGCTATGAGGGGCTTTGTATTCAAGAGTCTGGACTCTGGCGCTTTGCGTTCGTCATCGAACGAGTCTGTCTGCTTTCGAGATGTGAATCACGTGTCATTCCGCCAGAAGATGGTGGAACGGCACACGAATTTTCACTTGTAACATATATTTTCAACTACAGTTCCATCTTTCCATTGCGTATATTCATAAGATAAGCTATTTGTAACTTCATCCATACTGAATAACTCAATTGTCACTCTAAGAATGGTAACGTAAGTACTTGTAAAGAATCACTATTTACTTACCCTTTCATATTTTGTCACAACCCGCTTTCCTCCCAAAATTTGGTGCTTTCCACTACAATCCAATCCTGGCCATTGGTGGGGAACACACGAGGAACTCGAACAAAGGTAAGGCTCCATGTGCCTGGCTCCACGCTCAACATGCCAACAACCGATCCATACCCAGCAGCAAACACTTATTCCGCTTGCCACATTGAACGTCCCCATTATGCAGTTACTGCTGGCAACAAAGCGGTCCAGCTTCTGCCAAACTACCCTATCTGCTATCAACCTACTCCGAAGAGAGTCACACGAGAGTGCCATTGAGTTACACCCCATATCACTTGCGACCACTGCCCCAGAAAAAGCTGAACATGGACGTTGACTTCTTTGCCGCACTTGCCTGTGCCGCCTTCCGTGCATCCTCCCCTGCCCCACGCCCTGCCCCTCTCCCTCCCGCATGTCCTCCTCTCCCCCCTCCTCGGCCTGCGCCCGAGCCTCCTGCTGCTTGCCGGGGAGGCGGCGCCCCATCTTGATCCAGATCCAGGGCCGTGTCCTTGGCCAGGATCTGCAGTGCTGGCAGCACTACCGACTCCAGGTCAGGCCGGTTTGCCTTGTCACGGCACCTCAACGCCAGCTCAGCAACATCACGAACGATCTTATCGTTCCACGTGACTTCCTTGTCAAGGTGCTCCAGCACTCCCTCCAGCCCGAACTTGGCGTATTCCAGCACCTTGTTCACCTTCTCTCCCGTCAACAACTGCAGCACCACCAACCCGAGCCCATAGACATCTGACTGAGGGCCGTACTTGCCTGTCCGCAGTAGCAGAGGGTCAATATACCCCACAGTGCCCCAGATTGACGAGTCATTGACTGGTAGGAACTTCGCCAGACCCACTCCTCCGAGTTTGCTGATGAGATCGTCGTCCAGCATGACATTGGCGGGCTTCACGTCCTGGTGCAGGATGGGGTAGTCCAGGCGGTGCAGGAACACTAGCGCCTCCGCCACCTCAGCTGCGATGCGCAGGCGGTCTTTTTGCCTCAGGGACTTGCGCCCAGTCTCAGTCGCCAACCTGTCCTCGAGATTGCCGCCAGAGAGTGCCTCGTATACGATACAGCGCGACTCGGCATTGTAACCTATAAGCTGCACAATGTGGCGGTGGTCGGCGCGTGTGAGAACTGTCACTTCGCGGAGAAAACGCTCTCCTGCCTGCCGGCTAGTGTCAGGGTTGAGCTTCATTACAAGGACCGGTCGGCCGTCGATTTGACCCTTGTAGCCTGTACCGAAGCCGCCTCTACCGAGAGAGTTTTCACGGTGGAACTTGTTGGTTGCTTGCTCTAGCTCCCTGCCGGTGAACTTTTTCACGCCCTCCATGTGGGCTGCTCAGGTACCGTGTCTGGTGGCTACGGCTACGGCTACGGCTGGAGTTGTAGTGGGACCATGAAGGGACGAACGTCAGGGGAAAGGAACAAAGTTGAGGGGCATTAGTTATCAAAGAACATTAATGAGTACAGCCTTGAGTCAATCTGACGAACAGGAAGATAAGGAACCAAATGCATGCATGATGGGGATAAACGGTTGAAATATTTATCATGGGAGTGAGGTAAGGACGGGATGGTAGTGATTGACTTTGTGCTCTAATGTGTGAGTGCGGATGTTTTTGAGAGAGGGAGAGAGGGAGGGAGGGGGAAAGGTGACGGCGTGAGTGCGTGAGAGAAGGTGAGAACGGAGGGAAAAAGGGAGAATAAACGGCATCTCCTCCTCTCGCTTCGCATGAATCATGCACAGAATGGAAACTGACACGTTCGCGAAAAAACAAAAAAGCACTATGGAACTTTCGCACGGTGAAAATACCAGGACACGAATGTAATCGGCAACTAGGAATCATCAACCTTCGCAAAATGATCAAAATAAGTGACATTGCCTTTAAAAAGCGAACCTCCACTAAGAAAGACAAACTGAGATCCAACACGGGCAGCACTCACCAGACAAGCACCGTTAAAAATGGTGTCTCGATACAGTGACAGAAGTAAACAGTTTTCTACTGAACTCCGTACAATAAGCCTTCTACGTCTATTGTTGGCTCGCTCTTGACCGCGTGCAGCTAGCCTTTGTGGACGACAGATCTAAAAGTTGACATGCGAACTAAGCAGCCAAGGCGAGCACTCCGGAAGACGTTGATCTGGCAAGCGAGAGCAGTGCTGTGGGACGGTGGAGACAGCTCAACGACGCGTTCTAAGCAGATGCCAGTGTCCTAGGTTCAGGTTGAGCACATGGAACTTGGAAGGACTAGATGCTGCTACGGACACGCATATGGAAGGGCAAGATGCTGGAGGAGAAACTAGGGAACCAGCGGGGGTGAGCAAAATCGACTCCAACGGGTCTCCGAAGCTGTGTCTGGCTTGGTGCTCACCTAGGCAGTGGTTGGCGGGAAACTGGGCTCGTTTTGGAGGGCAGCAGAAACGCCAACAAATGACGCTATCACATACAGTTGTGTACTCATTCGTATATTCTTGGTAGCATAGTCAAAGCTATTGTTTCCAATTAAGGGCAAACTAGGTGTGCCCCTAAAACGAATCTGAGGGCCTGCGCTGACTGTACAATGAGCCCACACTAGACTAAAAATGAAAACATGTGTATTTATGAGTCCAATGGGCCAATATTACCAGCAAAGGTGATAGGTGAGCCATTATGGACTCAGTACAAGCGCATTTTGGATCAGAAAGAACATGCGCAATGCTGAATACTGCTTTCATTGTTTATTAGTCTAATTGAATAGGTCCAGATATGAGTCTGAATCTCATTGATTAAGGTGTCTCATTCAGATCCCCTCTGAACATGGTCTAACCCTCTGTATTTAAACTCGCATAAAAGTTCATTTGTGTACCAGTGATCCTTATTCCACTCAATCTAGTTCACAACTGATGTTACATTTCGGTTACCAGCAACACGAAACTGAGGCTGGAGCACACAAATGCCAAGCAGGGCAGTTTCAATTCAGCCAGCCCTCGATCTTCTCGAAACTTTCAATTCTTAGCGCCAGCAGCATCCTGAGCCAATTTGCGTCTTCAGTGCTCCCACCCAGTTACCGACGAGTCGGCGACAACTCGTTGGTCGATCGCACCGCTACTCGCCAATCCTGCGCGACATGGACGACGCCGGAATGTCGCTTTTCGAAGGGATGGACTTCGTCGATCCCTCCACACTCCTCTCCCCACCCCGCGCCATCACCCCGTCATTCGAGTCGCCTGACTCCTCCCGCGCCGCTCCTCCCGCCGACGCGCAGCACCAAGAGCTTCCCTCAGCAGGCGATCTCGCCAAGCCGGGCTCTTCCTCTCAATCCCCGATACAAGCTTCCTCATCCGCTTCGTTACAGGCATCTGTACCTCCGGAAGGCACAGACGAAGCGATAAAGTCCGCACCGCTGGACGCTTCGCTGTTCACTTCGGAACCCGCCGCCACACCAGCGGACACGTCACCAGCCAAGTCAGCAGCCTCTGCAGCAGCCATTGCGGGATCGGCAGCGGGAAGTCCATCGCCGCTGTCTCCCGCAGCCGCCCTAGCAGCCCTCTCGCCTTCCGTTGCCGTCCTCTCGCCGTCCCTGCTTCCTGTAACGGCACCGGCCAGCAGCGGCGGCTCGCCCATTGTCGGCTCTCCTAGCGCCAGCGTGGCAGGCTCGGCGGCCTCCTCAGGGAGCGTGTTAGCCGGTTCCGTTGCCAAGCCTGTCGGCCTGGTTCGGAAGAAGAAGCGGAGCATCAGGATCGGGTACGAGCGGGACTCTGCGGAGGAGTCAGCAGGTTCGGCGGGGACAGTGGCGGCGAGATCTGCGGACGCGAGTGGCAGCAATCAGGCAGCAGGATTGGCAGGTTCGCATAGCAGCCAATCAGAGACGGAGATTGTTGCTGGCGACGGAGAGGAAAGAGGAGAGGCTGGGGCGCCGGTCAGGGGGGGTCGTGTGGAAGAGCGGGGGGAGGAGGGGGGCGGTGGCGACGGGCACGCTGCAGCTGGTGCGGATGGCAAGGCAGCCGAGGGTTTGGATGCTACTCGTGGCTCTGAGGCTGCTGCTGCTGCTGCTGCTGCTGACGACAGCAAAGCTGGCAGTGACGTCATGACAGATGAGACGAAGAAGGGTGTGTTTAGTGCGTACTCAGCAGCCAATGGGATCGCAGAAACTATTGAGGTGGAGGAGAAGAAGTCGGTTGTAGAGGCAGCAGCAGAACCTGCTGACGTGGCAGGAAGTGCAGAAGTGGGGAGTCAAGATGGAGAGCATGAAACTGCTGATCTGTCGCCTCCTCCAGCCATGTCAGCCGACCATCCTGCTGATGCAGCAACGTCAGGCTCGGACGAAGCAGGAAAGGAGGGAACGGAGGCTACAGGGGCAGATGGGGCAGAAAGGAAGGAAGGGGGAACAGAAGAGACAGCAGGAGCCATGGCGACAGGGAGGGAAGACACAGGGGGTGCGGAGGGTGGGGAGGGAGAAAACGATGTTGGGGAGGCAGAAGCTGGTCTGGGGGGAGAGCTAGAACAACAAGTGAAGCGCCTCCTTGCTGACGTGGCAGCTAATCTGACCGCTGTCCAGGCCAAGATCCGCGATGCCACATCAGCACGGAAACGGGCGGTCCAGATGCGCCGGCAGGCAGCTCAGCGGGCGGCAGCCGCTGCGAAGCGATTGGAGGAGATTGAAACTGAGCTGGCAGCGGCGTGCGAGGCGGAGGAGTTTGAGCTAGCGGACGAGCTGAGCCAGCGGGCGGAGCGGGCGGCGGGCGAGGTGAAGGACTGGGGGGGCGAGGTGGCGCAGGCGGAGGAGCAGGTGGCGCGGTGCAGCAGTGACGTGCTGCGACTGACGAGTGAGGAGGCAGAGATTGAGGTCGGGGCTGCTGAGGCCCTGCGACGCATTCACAGGGTGAGTGGCGGGATGGGCAGTGAGAAGGGGGGTGGGATTAGCTGGAGGTGATGTTGAGCGTGGAGGAATGGTGAGTGGGGGGGAGCGGTGAGTGGAAGGGAATGGTTATCGGTGGGGAATGGTGAGAGGGTACGGGAGGATGGTGAGGGGAGACACAGTGTGACGATGTTGGCTTGGCCAGATGTCTGGCAAAATATCTCGCCAATCCTACCCTGTACTGCACGCAACTAACAAGATGACTGTCCATGCGTCTGGTGCTCAAATGTAGGCCATACTCAGTACGCTGACTAGGAAGGATTCTCAAGCGCCGACCGAGTGCTCTGCAAGAGCTGGCCTGGTCACCCTTGCTGCCCTCCCCCGCGTCGTGCAAGGCAAGCAGGCAGCAGCTGCCATGAGCGCTCTCTAAGGCCCGCGTGGACGAGGCTGAGTGAAGGCTGCTCACTGCTCACTGTCGCTGCTGGGATGCAGTCGCATCCTCGCCTCACCAGCATTTGCCAACGTCATGCCCTATCCGCCCGTGCAAGTGTTCCGGCCATGTCTACTTCACGTGGAAGATGCACGGCAGGCAGGAGTGCTGATGTGCCCTTCCGTTTCGCATCCCCTCTTCCCAACTCGTCCAGTACCCTTCTGAGAATTCTCAAAAGTGACACACACATATCCGTCTCCACTCCCCCTGCTTCTCGCTCTTTCCCCTCTCCCCAATTTCTCGCTGTCTGCTGCCAGCAAGCAGCAGCTGCTGCCGCAGAAGCCAAGCAAGCAGCGCAGCAGCAGGGGGAGGAGGAGGAGGGGCGGGTGGCAGCAGAGGAGGCTGACGTGGACATCAAGAAGCGCAAGCTGGCGGTTGAGCGGCGCGTGCTGGATGAGGAACGCGCTGAGCTGGCAGCCAAGGTGGACGCTGCCACGTCAGCGGAGCGCCAGGAGCGTGAAGAGCTGGAGAAGGGGCGTGCTGAGCTGGAATCTGAGCTGGCAGCGCTGATGGAGCAAGTGCGAGCAAAGGAGCAGGAGATAGAGCAGCAGAGCGTGCTTATAGCGAAGGTGGATGGGAAGATCTCAGCCGTTGCTGGCAGGTTTGAGAAAGTGAGGGGAGGATTGGAGGAGGAAGAGAGGAAGGTGGTTCAGATGGAGGAGGAAGTGAGGGAGATGGAGAAGCGCGTGGAGGAGGGGAGGAGGAGGGTGGTGGAGGTGGTGGAGGAGGGGAGGAGGGTGGCGGAGGGACTGGAGAAGGTGGGGAGCAGGGCGGAGGAGGAGGCTGAGAGGCTAGAGCAGGCGGTGGAGGGGAGGAGGAGGGAGGCGGAGGAGGTGAGGGCGGTGGCGCAGCGGCGGGAGGAGCTGGCAGCCGCGGAGAAAGACGCCCAGGCGGACCTGGAGGCGCTTGGGCAGGCCATGGGCGAAGTGAAGACGAGCCTGCAGGTGAGCGGGGGATGCATTGAGGGGGAGGGGGTAGAGCAGGTGTGTGCATGGCAGAGTGAGAGTGTGTGAGTGGCAGGGGGGCGGGGTGGCTGTAGGAATGGGTGCAAGTATGGGAGAGGGAGGGAAGATTGAAGGAACAGGGGATGGGGCGGGGGTCACGCTGGTTGGGCTTACTGACAGCACTGCGTGAATGACTGCAGGCTGAACTCAGCAACACACCAGCATGCACACACCAGCATGCACACACCATCATGCACACACGCATCTCTACCATCTCAATACCCCCCCTCTCCATCTCACACCCCCCCCTCCACCTTCTCTTCTCGCCCACCAAACCAATCCTTGTGGACCTGCATAGCGTTGCAGAATGCCTGGTGCAGCTTTTTCCTCCTGTTCCACTCCCCTCCTTCCCTGACGCCCCCCACTTTCATGCCCCCCCACCTTCATCCTGCCCCACCTTCTCCTCACCACTGCCTCTCGCCCCACAGGAGCTGAGTGCGGCGCGCCAGAAGGCCCAGGAGGAGCTGGCCGCGGTGCACCAGCGCCTGGCCGCTGCCGCCCGCCGCATCCCCGAGCTCGACGCACAGAAAAAGGCGGCGGCCGCCGCCCGGAACTTCAAGGAGGCCGCCCGGCTGGCCGCCGAGGCAAAGCTGTTTTCCAACGACCGTGAGGCGGCAGAGCGGCAGGTGAAGGAGTGCGGGGAGGAGATTGCACGCGTGGAGCGGGAGGAGGCGGGGAAGCAGGAGGAGGTGTGTGCGATGGAGGAGATGGTGAGGGAGCGCGAGCGGGAGGTGGGCGTGGCACGGTGTGCGCGGCTGAGACTGGTGGCGGCGGTGGCACGGCGGGAGATGGAGGCGGCGGCGGAGGGGGAGGACTGGGAGGAGGCGGAGGGGCTGCAGGGGGAGGCAGAGGCGGCTGAGAGCGAGGCGGATGCGGTGCAGCTGCAGTGGGGGCTGCAGGGGGAAGAGTATGAGCGCAGGGAGTGAGGCCGGGCAGGTGGAGGAGGGGGGGATTGGGAGGAGGCGGAGGGGCTGCAAGGGGAGGTGGAGGCGGCTGCGCTGCAGCTGCAGTGGGGGCTGCAGGGGGCGGAGTATGAGAGGAGGGAGTGAGGGGGTAATGGAGGGGCCCCTGTTCGGGCTATGGATGGCACTGAGGCACTGGTATTGTCGTGGTCGCAGCGAGTGCCATGGAGCAATGATGGAAGTTGGATTGGAAGGTGGAGGGAGTGTGAGTTAGAGGACGTGGGCAGAGGATCGAAAGCAGCATGGAAGGAACAAGGTGGAATGGGTGGGAGATCGTGAGGAGGATGGAGGAGTGCATCTGGGGTACTAAAGCGTGGTGGAGGGCAACATTCGGAGGTTCAAAAAGGGCCCATAAAGACACTTCGATGGATGACTTTTCTTCCCCATTTATTTTTATCTTGCTTTAGACGACAGCGCTGGACACTAGTTTGATGGATCATATATTGGTCTGTTGTGCCGCAGCCACAAGCTGAGTATGCGAGTGGCGTGCTACGTGTACTGTTTCATATTTACCAGTACACAAGCAATGACCCACCTTCTGCATGCACTGGAAGCACACAGAAAGACAGCTCATGAAATTTCCACAAAAGGTCAAGCACAGACAACCAAATGCCTTTGGATTGCAGTACCATGAGAAACAAACAAGATCGATGACAACCTGCCAAAGGAAGTGACCACTGGATGGAGGCTCCACTCCACCTCGGCCGGTCCAAACGCACTCGGTAGGTAAGGTATGTGTGCCATTGGAATCACTGAGTGTCCCTGATGGCAGCTGCAGTGATGCTTGCCAACACCCACCTCAGTCACAGCTGCACCGCAGCAACCTTTCAATGACACACACGCGGGACTGTACAACTTTTCAATCTGTTTAAAAGCAGGGCACCGGTTGCTCCGTTCTTCTGCAGGTGGGGGTCGGCAAATGGCGGAGCTGCTACTCATCCCAGTCGTCGTTGAAATCATCGCCCCCATCAACCTCACCACCATTCTCAGTGCTCTCAACCTCCCCATACACATCCTCTGATGCCCTCTCTTCCACCACCACCCTCCGCCACCTCCCTTCTCCCACTGCCACATGCTCCTTCCCCCCCACGCTTCTCAAAGCGCCTGCTCCTTGGCTCCCGTCCCTGTCACACTCCCCACTGCCTCTCCCACCGTGCCCCACTGCTTGCCACAGTCGCTCTCCACCTGCTTGCTGCACCCCACATGCCCCGCCCCCTGCCGCCTCTCTGCTTCCTAACACGCCCATATGTCCGTCCAAGTTTTCTGATGCTCCTCCTTCATCGCCTGCACCTCTCTCAGTTTCCCTCCCATTTAAACTTCCTGCTCCCCTTGATTGCCCCTCTCGCCCTGCCGCCTGTTGCTTTCCTCCCCCAGCAGCAGCAGCAGCAGCAGCAGCAGGTTGCGGGTGGGCGAAGGAGAAGAGGCGGACAGAGAAGGCAAAGGCACGGTCGAAGAGGAAGGGGCGAGCAGCCTCTGCTAGCGTCGACAGGTGGGCCACCACAGGGGGTTGGGTGGTGAGCGGGGGGAGCGCAGTGAGCGAGGGGCGGGCAGTGAGAGGTGGGCGCAGGGCGGATTTGGAGGTCCACACACTCCTCGTGGTGCTCATGGTGCCGTGCATTGGCGCCTCATAAGCTGAGGCCTTGCGTCGGCTCGTACATGCTGCTGCTCGGGTGGATGAGGTGGCGGCGAGTGGTTGTGGTGGCGGCTGGGTGGCGGGCGGGTGGAGGAAGACTGCGAGCAGATGATCCACCACCATGCCCACGTCCTGCTCCTGCATGCATGCATGCACCCATACACGAATGCCCCACGTGCACACGTGCATGAATGCACACATGTGCGCATGCATGGATGCACACAAGCACACATTCACGCAAGCATGCAGGCAAACATGGATGCACACACATGTTGGTGAATGGAGGGAGACAGTGGCACGTGGGCAAGGATGGCATGAGTGCATGCAGAACCTCCTGTCCTGCCCGTGCTCACCTGCACACTCACAAGAAGCATCCCTCACCCATCCACTCCACCACACGCAAACCACCCTCGCACCCTCGCACGCTCTCTGACTCTCACCTTCATGAGGGCCTGCAGCTCCACAGTCATCCACGCCCGCACCACACTCTCTGTCGGCGCACTCTCCACCACCCGCTGCCGCCCCCGCTGCTGCCACCCGCCCTTGGCCGCACCGCCTGCCCTCCCTCTCATGCTCTCTGCACCCGGCGCTGCAGACAGGGGTGACGGCGATGGTGCAGGCGATGGCAGCGTTGGTGCCACTGCGGTGGGCGCGCTGGTGTAGAGGCGCCGGCGCTTGCAATGCTCCCCAGAGGGCACGAACGCACTGGGGGAGTGATGGAAAGAGGGGGGAGGGGCGGGGGTTGCTGGAAGGTAAGTACGAGCAAACCAGAGGGGAAGCATGTGGGGGGTGGGGAATCCAGGGAGAAGTTACCATAATAAGAACGAGCGGACGAGATCAATGCCTGTGACCAACCCTTCATAGCCCCCCCAGAAAAGAGAGAGGAAAAAAACCACTAGGGAAGAAACAAACGCACCTGCCATGATGTGCACAGCACAGCTATACTTTCATACCTGATCATCCGACCACCGCTGCTTCCATGCCTGCCCTCTGCATGGCTCCCCGCAGCAGCATCAGCCGCAGCTTCGGTGGCCGCTCGTTGTGCCGAAGCAAAGGGCGGGATGGGCAGCTGGTCGAAGTCAGCAGCGGCGAGGTTGACGTGATGGATGATGGAGAGCGGCGCGGCCTGGAGGGATGATGCGCGCAGGGGATGGGAGGGATGGGTGGAGCCGCAGTGGCGTGATTGATTTGACAAGCAGACTCAGCAACAGAAAGGGGATTTGAAGTGATTGATCCGCGCAAGCTACTGCGCTTGTACCACCTCTTGCGTTTGACAGTCTATTAAAATACCCCATTTTCCTCACTCTACTCTAACTTGCTCTATCTCGCTCTGCCTACCTTGCAAACGGGACACACAGCTGGTCTCCTGGGCTGCTGTTGACTGCTGACATCAGCATGTGAAAATGTGTCTCGTCCAGCTTCAGCAGTTGCAACGTCAGCATCTCCTGCGAACTGAACCGCCGATTCGAGCCCCGGTGACGTGGCAACATGAGCATCGGTGAGCGCAACATCGGACGGTTGCTGCTGCTGCGGCTGCTGCTGCTGGCGTAAGTGCGGAGGGACGATGGGGCAACGGGTGCAGGACTCGAGCCATCGCACGATGCAGGTGAAGCAGAAGCTGTCTGGCAGTAACCAAGGCTCGACGACGTTCGTCGACGCCGGTTACACCGTTGAAGTTCGTGGAGAATCGAATTCGACCGTGAAACATCCCGTCGGTTTCACCCGCGAAACGGGGAAGCAGCAAGCGACGGGAGGAGGAAGAGGAAAAGGGAAAGCCGGTCAGAACAGTCACAGAGGTGTCAGAACAGAACCTTTAGCAAAGCAGCATCCGACAGTGGTACCGACGGAACGAGTGTGCTGTAGATTGAAGGGCTACGCCACCTACGGAAGCAAGGCTCGAGAAACGCCTCGTCGTGTGGTTCGTCAAGGCAGATCGGACAGACAGACGCCGCGACGGCCATGCGTGCCGAGGTGGGTTGACGATAACAAGCTAGTTTATGGCAGCACAGGATAGTACCTGAAGCTGCTCGACTCAAAAGCCTTGCGAGCCGCGACCTAAAACTGACCGTGTGCGCTAGACGCGGTATGCGTGGTACAGTGAAGTGAAGTGCGGTAGCATATGAAAATTCGATAGCTCAGTTCGGTTTATAAGTTTTGCTTGGTGGCAACATACAGGGTATGAGATTCTCCGAAATGAACTGTAGTTACTGAATACCAATACACTGTGTGGCAACCTGTTAGGACGGGTCACCTCTAGCGATTTTGCACGATCCATCCTGCGAAGGATCGAATTTGCCCGCAGTTGAAAACGGTTCAAGTTTTTATTTATGTAACAAATAGATTTAGAGTGCGGTGGACGATCGGTTTTTTAGGATCGATCGTGCAAAATCGCTAGAGGTGACGCGTCCGAGTCTGGTTGGGTCTGATAGGCACATATGAACGGACGACGGTTTGACGAATTTGAGGCACGGCAACGAACGATGTGTATCAGGCACTGGGCACAATGCAAGACCTAGCGTGCTCTTCTCCTACCCACCAACCACCACCACCCCAACTGAGTGCTACAGTACTAAGTTTGCCCTAGCTTCTCCTGGTAGTACTTTGTTGGTAACCCGCTGCGCCATATCTAGCGACCGCAGACTTTTTGGAACAGAGTTATGGCAGAAAATAGTGGCGCTGACAGCAGCAGCGGAAGTCACATTCCGAAGTATATTCCTTCCAAGCACGTTCCACTAACAGACCAGCTAGAAAAGGACAAGGTTCGTTCCGGTATTCGCATGCGCACTCATCGCTTATTTCCTATTGCGACTTGCACCCACCGTCCACTTCAATTTTCTGCACGATAACTGGATACCGGTGCCTTTGTTTTCAGGATGACGAGAGCTTACGGAGGTGGAAAGAGAGCCTACTAGGCGAACTATCGATCGACGACAAAGGTCGCACACTCTTCGCATATTCCTTTTCATGTAACCGCTGACTGTGGCCCAATGGGATTTTCTCAAGCACAGCGTTCTTCTTCCGTGCCAGGCAAGCGAGGAGGCTCGGCAGTCGAGTTTTCGGCTGTGCGGCTGCTCGTGGAGGAGCGGGACGCCATCGCGCTTCCGCTGCCTAAGGACGGCGAGGCCGTGGCGTCGCCAGCGAGCTTCGAGCTGAAGGAGCGATGCAAGTACCGGCTGCAGTTCGAATTCACAGTCGCGAACGACGTGGTGCTGGGCCTCACGTACGTCAACACCGTGTATAAGGACGGCGATCAAGGTGAGCGCGCAGCGGCACCAGCTGGTCGAGAGTCTTTTGAAATTGTACCTCCGTTTGGCATTGATTCAGAGTGGCCAAAGATTGGATTGATTAAGCCACATGGAATGAAATGAAGCAATTAAGCCGATTACGACTTGGTTTGTTGGTCAGGGGGGCACGACGAAGCAGTGGTCTACTCATCAGGAAATGCGTATTTTTCTTGTGTGTGTGTGCGTCTTTGTGGAGCAAACATACTCTGAAGGGTTGGAACGCTGGGAGTCCATCAGAGAGATGTTATTGGGTTTTCACTGCCAGCAGTTTCTGTCATCCTCCTTTGTTCTATAGCTGTTTCACTTCGTCTGTAGGTGCGTTCAGTGGTGCGAGCTTTATTTATGTGCGGGTAGACTTGCACTCTTTGTCCCCTTCTCCCTTCCCACTGTCCGTTTTTTATTTCCTTCTTTGTGCCTTCAACATTGTTGCAGTGGATACTTCTAAGGTGATGCTTGGAGCATATGCGCCACAAGCGAAGGCGTATGTGTATGTGACGGAGGAAGAGACAACGCCTGACGGAGAGGAGGTCCGTGGCAAATATACGGCAGAGACAAAGGTGCGAGTTTTTTGTCCACTTGTCTGTGCTTTTGTCTTCTTTCAATTCTCTATATTGTATTGAAGCAGTGATGTATTGGCCATTTGTTTAACGAATTGGCAGATTTCCTCATTGTTTACTTGCTGTCTGCTTCCATCCCCTTGTGCAGTTCACTGACGACGATGGCAAAGTTCACTTGACATTTTCTTACTCTTTTGAGATTAAAGAAGACTGGTAGTCTGTTATTGACTCACTACTGATCACATATTTTGAAAAAATATGGTGTGTTTCTACAATAAATATCTATCATGTTCGCAGCAACCTCACTCTGATGTATATTTCGCGTCCACTTGGTATGGCCAGCCTCATGGTCAAGTCAACAGACACACAGTATAGCTAGGCAGCAAATGGACATGACGAGACGACGTACGCTCATATAACGTTGGTATGGGGTGGTTCATTCTAGTGTTAAGTGGGAGAAAACCGTACTATAGGTTTTTCTTCTTCTTTTCCTATTTGATTCACGATCAAGTCGTGTGAACTGAGTGCTTCTGTGCTTTATGCAAACACTTCCCATCGTTGCATAATCACGCGTGGCCCCTGATGATTGGCGCAAGAACCTCCGATGGATTTCTTTTCCACATCCAATTCCCCCACACAGTGGCGCGGGGGTTCTTGTGCATCTCCTCACAGCAGACCAGACAAATACAGTTTTCGAATGAATCCAAGACCTTGTCCACCTCGCTGTGCAGTCCCTACTTCGATAGTGTTCCGTGCCTCCCTTAGCACGGCAAAAATCTCTCTTCTCATGCGTCATTGTTAGCGTCCAGCAGTGTTACACGCACAGCGTTGCCACGCGTTTCTCTAATTTCCGGCACAGCATGACGTCCACCAGTTCTTTAGGAGCCATGACGCGAACTTTTCTAACCGATCGTGTGACAACACAAGGCGTCGCTCTGCCGCGTAGATGTGCGTCTCCAGCACCCCGCGCGCTGTCGCTCCTTTCTTCCACCAGTACAGTCGCGCCGCACTTTCCCCGAAGTACCCGGCCCATTTTGACGCGAGCAGACCCGAAAGGCGACGCGAGGGAGCTATGGCGCCGCGAGATTGAAGCTGATTCGGCAGCAGCAACGGATTTTGACGCGGTAGACGCCGATACAGTGAGGGAGGAGGCGCAACGATTGACACGTAAGCAGGTCATGGAGCGGCTCGACAAGGCGAGCTATCAGGAGCTTCGCGCGCTGCAGGAGAGCGGTTACGACTCCGATGGCGGTAGCACGCGGCCCGGCGGTGGTGGGAAAAACGCGGAGAGCGGAGGGGTAGCGTGGAAGGAGGTGGTGGATAAGATTCTGGTGGCGGACTTCTTTTTAATCACAATCGCTCTTGTCTGGTTCCTAACGGGCGTGCTGCAGCGGTCTATCTCGCATGACGACGGGCTGCTGCTGGCGTGGTTGAAGCTGTGGGACCCCTTGTTCCAACCGGCCATTGGCGTGTTCATGGGCTCTGCCGTGTTACAGGCCGTGCTTAAGAAAAGAAACTAAGTGCGTGATATGCATTACATTTTTAAATAGGGGTGCCGCTGAGGCATGCTGCTGAGGCCTGAATTTTGCTGAACTGGGGCGGGGAAAGGGGGCTAAGGAGGGAGGGGGAAATGAAGTGGGGTTTGGGAAGTGGAGGGGGGGATGGGGGGGCGACGCAGGGGAAAGGGAAAGGGGGTGAGGAGGAGGGGGGTGGGCGGCATGATGCGTTGCTGTAGCATGCGGAATGAATGCGTACCATCATTGCCTTACAAGAGATATTGAGCACCTGTTACGGGTGCAGTGCAATGGAACGAGGTAGCGAGGATTGCACTAGGCGCCAAACGAGCACAAAGTTGTTAATTTATGTATACCCTGCTTGCTGTTTGTTCTAGTGTAGTTATGTGCTCTCAAAGTTAGCGAACAACGGAATGATTGGAATAGAAACGAATGGGGTACAAATGAGCAACCCTAGAAGCTGTACCCCCTAGAGTGCAACTCACTATAGCCTATCATATCAATGTTCAACATTTGACACACCCCCATAGGCTAAGTGAGGGGCATCAAAGCAAGCAAGGTGAACAAACGGTCACAAGACCAGTCAAAGCAAGAACCAAGGCAAGCTCAGGGTGGATCTCAAGGACACCACACAAATTCCGAGCGCAAGCAAGCGGCCACAAGGCCAGTTCAAGAGTTCACTAGGATATAAATACAAAGCACAACAAGCAGAGCAAGCAACAGGACTACACCAACCGAGGGCCTACCTCAACAAGCCCCAACTGCACACAGAACCTGTGGTGGTCACCAAGCGCCAAGGCCTTGGTGAAGACGTCTGCAGTGTTGGCCTCTGAGGCCACAAAGTCCAGGCGTGCCTGACCGCGTCGCTGCAGCTCTCGCAGGAGGAAGTACCTCACGTCAATATGCTTCACTCTGCTCTCCAGTCGAGGCTCTCGACACAGGAGGATCATGGCCTTGTTGTCAGCGTACAAGGTCGGTGCAGAGCGAGGCCGCTCACCAAGGTCAGCGAGCAAGAAGGTCAACCAGCGAAGCTCCTGTGCCGCCATGGCACCAGCGTAGATCTCTGCCTCTGCACTGGAAGTAGCCACAGACGACGACCGTGTAGACCTCCACGACACAGCACCAGCTCCCAGACTGAAGCAGTAACCCTGAGTCGAACGTTGAGTCTCCACGTCGTCAGCGTAGGAAGAGTCGCAGTGACCAGTCAACGCCACTGGCTGAGTCCCTCCAAGCACAAGCCCCAAGCCTGATGTAGTCGCCAGGTACT